TATGAAGGTTCTGAAGGAGTATACTTCCCCTGTATCTCACCATCCACGGACAAAGGTGGCTGCTCACCTGTCTCCCCTCCTCATCTTAATGTATAATAGCTTGGAAATATGAGCCGGGGCTGCAGGTTTAATATAGTCAGCTGCTCTACCCCAGTTCATCAACACCTAGAATTGTGTTGTGACTCCCACAGTGAAACCAAGGAGGAGTTTATCGTCAAGGCTTAGACAGATTGTCACTAAGAATGTGACAGGATGAGTGTATGGTAGGAAGAAGGGGCACCTGTGTCTCCAGACAATCAGAGGCAGAGGCTCCAGACATGAGCTCCTCTCCCACAGTCTCTGCTCACCCATCTATTTTAACCTGTCAATGGAATAAATGAATCCTAACCTCTGGGGACAAAATGTAATGGTCTGAGCAGACAGATGTTTATTGTTGTCATCAGTGGGCAGTGTCATGTGCTTGAATTGTACTTTCCTGTAAATAGGACCGGGGGCTCCCGTCCTCACAGATAGACTTTGTTAAGAACAGGCCATGCCAGCTGCTCACACATTCCTTCTGCAGTATGGAAGCAATGGCTTTTCTCTGTGACAAGAAGTATAGAAACACAGTGAAATGTATGTATATTTTTAGATATACAAGTCTTTATACATACACGTACATGTATGTAAAGGAGGAAATAAAAAGAAATAATGATTATCATGGAGACTGTAGGGATGAAATTTATATGTCAACCTGGCCAGGTTGTACTACCCAGATATACTAACCATTAGCTAGAGGGGATCTGGAGCTGTGTTTTTGATGATACTAAATTCTGAGTGAGGAGTGACACTGAACAAACTCCATATTGTTAATTACATCAGTCAAGACCTTGAGGAAGATCCAACATCACCAAAGAAGACAGAGTTCTTGCTCCAGGCTGTTTTTATAAAAGTTGCAACATCAAGTCCTCCCAAACACTGGGGTTTTCAGAATACAATACTGTTATGTTTGGAATCTGAAATGTGTTCTTTAGGCTCCTATAGTTAATGCTGTGGATCCTGGGTCTGGGGACTCTTAGTAGGTCTTGAGGACCAGGACTCTGAATTGCTGCCTCTTGTCCTCTAGTTCTCTCTGCTTCTTCTCTGCTGTCTTACAGACAGCCTTCTGATTTGATGGACCCCACTGCTTCTGCCACCTGTCACCTCTGGAATGATGGCCTGCAATTCACTGTCACTCTGAGACAAACAGGCTTTCCTCCCTATGTTGTTTTTGTCAGAATTGCAGGTGTCTGGCCTTTTTGGGCCTAATCCTTCACAGATTAATGATGAATCAGGGCAGTCTTGTAGATGTCTGTCCTTGATATAACTTAGTATGTGAAGAGACCAATAGCACCTATGTTGCTCTAAGCTTCCTTGATAGGGGATGTCCTTCTGTTTGCTGTGAATACATGTTTCCATGATTGACTGTTGAATAAAGCTGTTTTGACCATTGGACATGCCAGATGTAGCCATTCTGGAAGTATAGGTGGGGCTACCACACTAGGAGAATTCTGGGAAGTGGAACTGGGAGAGGAGCCACTGGGGGGAATTAATATGGTTGTGGAACCAGTAACATGCAAGGAGTAACATGCTGGAGCATTGCAGGTAAGCCACAGCTTGTGGCAATACATTATTCAATACAAATGGGCTAATAATTATGAGAGAGCTAGCCAATAAGTAGCCTGAGCCATCGGCCAAAGAGTTAATAATTAATATAATCCTCTTTGTTTTTATTTGGGACTAAATACCTGCTTGACTGGGCGGGACAGAAAGTCCATCTTCACTTGCTTTACTGTCACCTCCCTGCTATGAATCAAAACAGGAATTAACACTCTGTATAGCTACACCAATTTTTATGCAAGATTTTAGGCTCAGTAGACTTAACTGTTTAAGTTTAGGTCCTCAGATACAAGTGATCAATAGCAAAAGGCTGTTAAATGACTAACCACGTCCAGATATTATTAATCACACTTGAGAAATATAAAATAGTATACATATTCTTTGCCTCTTCCTTAGTTGTCTCAATATCTTAGACTCTTCCCTTTGTAATTCTTGTAACTGTCCCTTTAAGAGTCCGAACTTTTACATCCTGCAGCTGATGTCAGCCACCAATTAGGCTGATAGATATTTGCTATATGAGACTCCTATTATATCTACAAAGGATATGTGTCCCTTAGGGTTTGCTTTGTAGCCTGCTTTAATTACTAACAAATTGTTGCTCATGAATGGATAGGTAACACACAGAAGAACGAAGATGGAAGGAGAAACAGCAGCATGATGAGTGTTAAGGAGCACATGGAATGAAGAGCATTTACCCATGTGTGTGAAGTTATTATAGAAATCTTTCTTTTCCCTTGCTCCTGAGAGGCATTTCTCCCAAGGAAACCTGGGTAGCAGCTGAGAGCTGAACTCTAGGCCGCTACAATTAAGATGGTTCTTCCACAGTCCAGGCTGGCTGTAGGCATCCACAGGCATTCCTGGTGCCACTCAGCTCAGACAGGTCAAAGACACCCACAGGCTATCCCGGGTCCTCATAGTCCAGGGTGACTGACTGACTGTGATGCCGGGCCTTTAGTCCTACCACAGCTAGGGTGTGTTGATATCCATGACCCATCCATGACCCATATTGCCACCAAAGGCCACAAGGATGCCTGGGATGTGCACCATCTCTGGCCATTTGGGTCACCAAAAACCATGGGGCCCTGAGGCCATTAGAGATCTGAATGGCCTGTGGTGCCACCCAGGGTCATGGTGATAACAGGGTCTTTGCTATATCTGAGGGTCATGTCTGATTTGTGGTCCTACCACAGTCTTTGTCTGTATTGAAATCCATGACCCACACTACCACCAAAAGCCACACAGATGCCGAGGGTCTAGGCCTCAACTTGTGGCCATACTGATGTCTGATGTCTCTGGATCTTGCCAATCTGAGTTACTGTGCTGTCAGTTGGGGCTATGATGTCATTTGGGCTGCTATTGAGAGCTATATCAAGGTCCATGGCCCTATAGCAGCCAGGGTCTGAATTAATATCTATGGTTCTTATTACCACCGAGGGTGGCAGATGCCTGGGGTGTGGTCAGCCCTGTGAGATCATGTTGCTCTTCAAGGGCTGTCCTGCTGCCAGAACCATACTGATCTGGGAGGCCTGTGCTGCCACCACTGGGGCCATAGTGATATATGGACCTGAGCTGCTGCCTAATGCCATATATGGTCCCATGTTTCTGCAGCAGTTGGGATCTGTGTTGATTTCCATGGCCTGTGTTATACATGGGGGTCATAGGAACCATGCATGTTGAAATCTGAGGGACATGCTGAGCTGGCAACTTAGGTCACTGACCTGCCCCTGGTTGGACACTAAAGCAGGAGAGCAGGTACTGCTCCTGAAGGGAGAGTTAGCCTCTGCACTCATGGGAGATGTCCCCTCCCACACCATGGGTATGGTTGAGCTATCCTTGATGACATGGGCCTAGGAGAGCTGGCTCCACACATCTCCTGAGACGGGTGGTCCCATCAACCTCAACTGAGGAGCACAGCTACCAAATAGACCCAGATCCAGGGCCTCGGGTTGGCCCACCCTTACATCTACCCAATCTACGACCTGCTGGCACATGTGACAGACCTGATCCTGCAGAACAATAGTCACAGGTTCTCCAAGATTCTGGGACAATCAGGATAACCAAGAGGAGTTTCTGCGAGGGTCCAGTGATGATGTAGTGCCAGAGGCCTTGAACCAGAACAATGACTCATTACCATGAACATTTTCAGGTAGGGAAGACTGGACAAAAGTGTATCCTGTGTGACACACCACACTTTACAAAGCCCCTCTGTCAAATGAAGAGGTGTTAGAGAGATGGGAAAGAAGGAGACAGAAGTCATTTTTGCTTGTCTTTTTTTGTTTTTAATCAATTTGGAGGGTTCTTTATGGGGTATGCTGCAGGTGTGAGAGGCAGATACGGCAGCAGTGGGAGGCGATTTGGATTGGGGTGCATCATGTGAAATTCCCAGAGGATCAATAAAGAAGCATCTTTAAAGAAAAACGATGGTTCTTCCAGAATCAGTGATATATAACATAATGAGATATAACAAAATAAAATAATCAAGATAATCTCTCATATGGTTCTCAGCCCATCTCACATTCTGTCTTACTATCAGAAAATCCATAACAGATATGAATGTCAACAGGGTAGTGGTACAAAACAGTTAACAACAGCTCCCCATCCTGGCCAAGGTCAAATGTGTGCAGTACCAATTATGCTCCTGGGAGATTCAGAAAATCATTGAAGCAGGGTTTTTCAGTTTTTTTTCAGAGAGCAAAATTACAAGGAGAGAGAGTTCATAATCAGACTTTCAGTTGGCAATCAAATAATGTGAATTTCCAATTCACTCGCATTGGCTAGGGAAGGATATGAAATAGATGACTTTATTTATGTGGACCAAGAGCATCTACAGATGTGATGAGTCTTCTGTTTTAAACAAGCTCCTCCGGGATGGATCTTGGCTAATGATCACAGTCCCCACCTGTTGTGTGGCTCCTTCCTCTTAGAGAGGCGTGTCTGTCTACACAGTGTTGGATACCTGATGTCCCTGTTTCAAGACCCCTCAAATTAATGTGTCAAAGCAGACCCAACTCTGAGAATGAGAAAGTATGTGAAGACTTTCACAGGCATAAAAGATCCAGGATTCATTTTACTACCAAATCACAAATCAAATCCCTATTATCATGGGCATTTTTTACATATGAGTTTATTGGAAGTGAGGTTTTCTCATGCACTTGCACAATGTTGATGACTTTACTTCTCCTTGTGCTACAGAACACTCTAGCCTTTGCCACAATGATCTTTGGGCTCAGACAAGGAAAAGGATGAACTCTCAGGCACTCCAAAGACAAGGTTTGTTACTTTGTAGAAGGTTATGACTCAGGATCCAAAACAAGGCCAGATGTAAACACCCATGGGAGCTTGTGCCTCATTTCCCATCATTCCCAGTAATCGGGGGCATTAGATATGTATGTTCCCACCTTCTTTTCAAAAAGATCTTCCCTATTAAGAAGAGCTATGGCATCATTTGCTGCAGTTTCAAGAAAGAGATTCTGCAGATAGTAAGTCTTTCTGTAGTAAATACAAGTAGCAACTGGTCCACCAGTAACTGAGGAAATGTGCTGGATATATTTCCATAGTTTGTCTTCCAAGGACTCATTGCTGTCTTCCTCAAACAAATGGGGAAACCGAAGGTGCTCCTTGAGTTCATCCACGGGCATGTTAAAATCTTTAGCAATGTTTTCCAATGAGGCATCATCCAGCCCAAAGTAAGACCTGTAGAGATTGAATGTTTCATTCAGATCCTCTAAATCATCCCTAATCATGCCAACCAATGGAATGGTGGCCAATGTTCCAGCCTTCAGGGCCTCTAGAAAGACTTTCTGCTTCAGGGAATCTCTCTTGAGGTTAATGGTGGTCTCAGTAACACTGTTTAAGGACAGTATGAAAGCGTGTCGCTTGTGGGCTGGCAGATCCCTTAGGAGTTTTGTTTGCAGGTCTGGGAAGTCATAGTCAGACACATCAAGATTAGAGACCAAGAAGACTGGAGGCTCACTGGAGAGGACTTCCTTGAGATGCTTTGAGCAGTCACCTCGGATTTTCATCAAGACATTCTCTTTATTGAAGGCCCTAGGTTTACTTTTCTTTTCATTATATATGTCATTATCTATCTTGGTTCGAACAAAGTAGAAATTCATCTTCATCATTTCGATGGCTTTTGCTAGTTGTGCATCATTTTCTTTGAAGCGTGTAGCTGAGATGATAACAAAGAAGTCATACTCAGCAAACTTCATTTCCTTTAGGTAGTTTTCTGGTGGGAAGGAAGTGGACCCAATGCCAGGCAGGTCCCATATTGTCACCTGAGGAAGCTTTGGGTGTGGGTATGGCACTCTCTCAATGGTTGTCTCTGTCACCCCAGTAGGGGCTGCATGTTCTTCTTCCTGGCCCATTTCCCTCAGGGCATTGATGAAGGTGGACTTCCCTGTCCCTGTCTCCCCTGTCACAGCAATGTTCAGTCGGGCATTCTCGATGTCTTCCAGTGCATTGTGAATTACAGAAAGTGCATCCTGGAGGTTATTTTCCTGGATGCAGGTTTTAATCAAGATGATGTTTTCCTCAGAAAGGATTTGGCTTTCCCTCTTAAAATTCTTAAAGAATTCATCAATGCTGGAGGCCCAAGCCATGTCTCCGTACGGTAGAAGCTGAATGGAACAAAGAGGAGAGAATCATAATCATTAACTAAAGTGGGGCATAGCTTTGGAGTTTGCTGGTGCAGTAAAGCAGGGCCCCAACTCTGTCCCATATCAGATCCTGCACTGCCTTCTCTTGGTTGCTGCTTCTGCTGCTGACCTGTATGGATATGGATATGATAAGGCCTCTTGCTCACACTTCACTTCCTGCCAGGAATTTCCTTGCATCCCTTGGTCTAATTCAGACTCCATTTACTCTGTCAAGTAACCCACTACAGCCTTTATCATCTCTTTGAAACCTCCTTCAAAATCATGTATTTTCATTAAACTGACACCCCAAATGGTGTCAATCCTAAAAGAACACAAGAGAACCAAGACTACCAGTAGGGTCCTCAACCTATGTGATCCCATTACTGAATTGCCTGTAGCTCCTCAAAGGCTTTGATCTCTTTGCGTGCTTATTCTGTAGTGAGGAAATGACACCGGACATGGGCTAGAAAATACAGAATTGAAAAGAGATGTTCAAGTAACTGGAAGTTCCCTCTCTTCTCATAGGAAGGGCAGGACATGGCCTCCATAGTAGGCAGACTCCTCAGTGAGAGATCCTACTTCTTGGAGTTTAGAAGCTCAGTTGTATATTTCCATGTGCTGTGTTGCCTGGGGATCATTAATTTGGAAATCAAGACAATGAAACAATCAGAGCTTTCACCCAGGCACTGACAGGGACATATTGGGTAGTTTTGACATGTGTCCTGTATAATACTGACTAGATTTTTAAGGCCATAACATTTCTTAAAATCAACATTTCTAATTCTATGAAACAACAGGGTTAACTTGGAGAACGAGTTCAAAGTATAGAAAAAGACTACATTAGGAATAGTTTTATTTCATATTTACCTAATATATATATATATATATATATATATATATACACACACACACACACACACATATACACACACACACAAACACACACACACACACACACACATATATATATATATATATATATATATATATATATATATATATATATACTTTAAATGACTTCATGGCACTTGGTTGATAATGCCTTCCTTGTGAGTCATAGAGTACAGAACTTTTTGTCAGGAATGGGAAACTTCTCTTGAGTTGCTGGTAAGGGGAGTCTAAGATACTCCGGAAACAGTGTAGTTTACTGCTGTTGCCTTTGCTTGATCCCCAGAAGTTGAAGTCCCTTTTGCTGAAGACAGCACACACTTCAGGTACAGGACTCAGACAAATCCGGCCCCCTGTGAGCCAAAGTCTAGCTTTCAAAACACCAGAAGGTGCTGTGCAGGTTGCCAAGTTTGGAAATCATTCAATGATCCTACTCAGCTGTGGCACCTGTGAGTCACAATGATGATCCCCACATTGAGATAACTCTAGAGGTGCAATGGTGGCATTTATGGTTTGGTGGTAACCCACAGCCATCTAATCAGACTTCAGGCTGGCTGAACAAGAAGAAAATCATTCCTGGTAAATGAAAACCTAGCCAACCACGTGTTGCTACCAGTGAGGTCATAGATCTCAGAGGAGAACCCACTATGGCCACTTTCCTATCCCATTATATTCCTAAGTGCTTTCTAAGTACTCATCTTTATACCCACAGGTACGTGGAGCTGTCACTCACCATGAAATATGCTGCTTTTCACAGCACAGATCACTTTAGAAAGACACAACTAGTCAAAGAGCAGAGAACAATGGATCTATGGTGCTCAGTGGATACATTGTAACTCAAGCCTTACACCTAAGACACAGGAAACACTGCAGAGGAGGGTGCTGAAAGACGACAAGAGTCACAAAACCGCAAAGTCTTGACATTTCGAAGTCTGCAAGATTGAGTCTTTGGCATATGACCTGATGATAAATCCATGCAACCTCATCATTGTAGCTATTTAAACAAGATCTGAGCAAGGATACCACCAGTTGACATGCCAAAGTGGATGTGGGAAATTGCATGTGTTGTCACACTTAAATGAAGAGTCACAAGTGATAAAATGCTGTGGAGAGGCAGAAGTGGTCTTACCCTCAGATGAGCCTGTATGTCTGCCTTTTCATCATCTATCTTTTTATCTATGTATAAGAGATATATACTAAATGCTGCAGGTTGTGCTTATATGTGTATTTGTTTGAAGATATGTCATAGTAATGAATTATTAGAGGCCATAAATTTGAAAGGGAATAAGGGGTATGGAAGGGACTTCAGGGAGGAGAAGGGGGTTATGATGCACTTATATTTTAATTGAAAAAAAAGGACCCTTGGTTCATTGCAAGAATTTAAATTAAATAAAATTCAAAATTCAGAAAAGAAAAATGAAAGAGAGAGATGAGGGAAGGAAGGAAGGAAGAAAGGAAGGAAGGAAGGCAGTCTATTGTTAGATGCAAGGATAACTTGGGAAGACCACACTCCAAAGAATGTCATTCACAGTTTCTGTTAAGAATATTACACTGATGTACGTAAGCCAGCCGGGGCCACATTGTGGGATATTGTCTCCAAGATACTGGATAGAGCCTTTACGACTACCTGTCTACTTCATGAGGTGCTAGTAGCCTTTCAACCTTCCTGTCCACCTACTATCCACTCCATGAGGTGAATCCCTGTGCCTCAGAGACTTCAGACCCCCAACCTCCAGTGACTTCTATGCATCTTGTCCACCCAGTGTGTGGCCTGTCAGAGTTGCCAGCTGTGTACCCACCTACTCACCCAACCATGTCTTGTTTCTGATTTTGGAGGAATTGCATTGAGTTTCCCTCCAGTTAGTTTGATGTTGGCTGTTGGTTTGCTGTATATAGCTTTTATTATGTTTAAGTATGTTCCTGTTATCCCAGATCTCTCCAAGACCTTTATCATGAAGGGGTGTTGGATTTTGTCAAAGGCTTTTTCAGCATCTAGTGAGATGATCATGTGATTTTTGTTTTTCAGCTTGTTTATATGGTGGATTACGTTGATGGATTTTCGTATGTTGAAACATCCCTGCATCCCTGGGATGAAACCTACTTGATTGTGGTGAATGATTGTTTTGATGTGTTCTTGGATCCAATTTGCCAGTATTATATTGAGTATTTTTGCATCAATGTTCATGAGGGATATTGGTCTGAAATTTTCTTTCTTAGTTGTGTCTTTGTGTGGCTTGGGGACAAGGTTATTGAAGCCTCGTAAAAAGAGTTTGGCAAAGACCCTTCTGCTTCTATTGCATGGAATACTTTGAGAAGAATTTGTATAAGCTGTTCTTTGAATTTCGGGTAGATTTCTGCACTGAGGACATCTGGACCTGGGCTTTTTTTGGTTGGGAGACTTTTGATGACTGCTTCTATTTCCATAGGGGTTATAGGTCTATTTCAATTGCTTATCTGTTCTTGATTTAATTTTGGCAAGTGATAGCTATCCAGGAAATCGTCCATTCCTTTAAATTTTCAAATTTTGTGGAGTACAGGTTTTCAAAGTATGACCTGATGATTCTCTGAATTTCCTGAGTCTGTTGTTATGTCCCCCCTTTTGGAAGAGGTCAAACTTTCAATATTTGCAGATGATATGATAGTTTACATAACTGACCTAAAGAACTCTACCAGGGAACTCTTACAGCTGATTAATACCTTTACCAAAGTGACAGACTACAAGAGCAACTGAAGAAAATCAGTAGCCCTAGTATATACAGATGATAAAAGGGTTGAAAAAGAAATCAGAGTAACATCACCCTTTACAATTGCCACAAACAACATAAAATACCTTGAGGTAACACTAACCAAACAAGTGAAATACCTGTATCACAAGAACTTTCAGTCTTTAAAGAAGGAAATTAAAGCAGCCCTCAGAAAATGGAAAGATCTTTCATTCTCTTGGATATGTAGGATCAATGTAGTAAAAATGGCAATCCTGCCAAAAGAAATCTACAGATTCAATGCAATCCCCATTAAAATACCAGCACAATTCTACACAGACCTTGAAAGAACAATAATCAATTTTGTATGGAAAAACAAAAGACCCAGGATAGCCAAAACAACCCTGTTCAACAAGGCAACATCTGGAGGCATCACCAGCTCCGACCTCAAGCTCTATTATAGAACTGTAGTCCTGAAAACAGTTTGGTATTGGCACAGAAACAGACCAATGGAATCGAATTGAACACCCTGATATTAACCCACACACGTATGAACATCTGATCTTTGACAAAGAAGCTAAAAATATACAATGGAATAAAGAAAGCATCTTTAACAAATGGTACTGGCATAACTGGATGCTGGCATGTAGAAGAAGGTAGATCGATCCATGTCTATCGCCATGCACAAAACTTAAGTCCAAATGGATCAAAGAGAAAGTGGGTGGTACCCTTGAACGAATCAGTACAGGCGACAACTTCCTGAACATAACACCAGTAGCACAGACAGTAAGATCAACAATTACTAAATGGGACCTCCTGAAACTGAGAAGCTTTTGTAAGGCAAAGGACACAGTCAGCAAGACAAAAAGGCAGCCCACAGAATGGGAAATGATATTCACTAACCCCACATCTGACAGTGGGCTGATCTCCAAAATTTACAAAGAACTCTGAGAAGCAAGTCTCCAAAACATTAAAGGATCCAATCAAAAAGTGGGCTGCAGAACTAAATAGAGAATTCTCAATAGAGGAGTCTAAAAGGTCTGAGAGACACTTAGGATAGTGCTCAACATCCTTAGCCATCCGGGAAATGCAAATCAAAACAACTCTGAGATACCATCTTACTCCTGTCAGAATGGCTAAAATCAAAAACACCAATGACAATTTATGCTGGAAAGGTTGTGGTGAAAGGGAAACACTCCTCTACTGCTGGTGGGAGTGCCAACTTGTACAGCCACTTTGGAAATCAGTATAGAGATTCCTCAGGAAAATGGGAATCAATCTACCACAAGACCCAGCAATTCCACTCTTAGGCATATATCCAAAAGATGCCCATTCATACAACAAGGATGTCTGTTCCACTATGTTCATAGCAGCATTATTTGTAATAGCCAGAACTTGTAATCAACCTAGATGCCCCTCAACCGAAGAGTGGATAGAGAAAATGTGGTACATTTACACAATGGAGTACTATTCAGCAGAAAAAAAAAATGGAATCCTGAGATTCGCAGGCAAATGGATGACACTAGAAGAAACCATCCTGAGTGAGGTAGCCCAGTCACAAAAAGAGAAACATGGCATATACTCTCTCATATATGGATTTTAGACAAAGATCTGGGGAATGCCAGCCTACAATCCTATGGCCAGAGAGTCTGAGAAACAGAACCTTCATTCAGCGGCTGATGGAAGCAGAGGCAGACTCCCACAGCTAAACACTGAGCTAAACTCAAGAAATCCAGTGACAAAGAGGGAGGACTGATGACCAAAGGGGTTAAGAGTGTGCTGGTTTAACCCCCCAGAAACAGCTGGACTGACAAGGGTTAGCTCTTGAATCCCAGACTGATGCCTGGGAATCCAGCATGGGTCTGATCAAGACCCCTGAATGTGGGTGTCAGTGAGGAGGCCTAGGTAATCTATTGAGCCTGGGTAGTAGATCAGTATTTATCCTGGTTATACAAATGGGCTTTGGGCTCCCATCTAACAGTGAGAGATGCACTCTCACCCTGGACTCTTGGGGGGAGGTTCTAGGTCCTGCCCTGGATAAAATGACAGACTATGGACAACCCCATGGAGGGTATATTGGGGGGCTTGGTGGGAGGGCATGGGAGGAGGGGAGGGAAAGGGAGTGGGACCTGAAATTGACATGTGCAGCAATCTTGTTTCTAATTTAAATTTAAATTAAAAAATATATATATATATACATACAACTATAAAAGTTGCCATCAGAGTAACAGCTGACCGAGAACAGCAGAATCTCTGAAAGCCACTGTGCTCAACCTGATCTGCCAGAGACTGTGGTTGTTTCTGATCTGGGCTTTTATCTCCATGGCAAATGAGGAGCCTACAGCATAGATTCCAAGAGCATCTGGGTAACCAGCCTGCTGTCTGTCTCCAAGCTTGACTGCTTCAGAAGACTGGCACAGCCCTCAGCACTTCCATGGAAGGAAGGGCTGTTGCTTCTCTGCTTTGGGATGCTCTGTGTCACAGAAGATGGCCACAGAAGGATGCTACCATGAATGCTCCCTGAGTAAAACTCCCCAGTTTCTCCTACCCCAGTGTCAGCTCTCTACTCTCAATGTTATCACCTATGTATAGTTTTGATCAAGCTTAACTTAGAAGACATTCACTTACCAAGTGGCACCTCTGGGAATGCTCTCCTCTTAGGAAAGCTTTTAGCACCGCGTCAAGGGTAATGACCGTGGAATGATCTAAACCTGGAGCTCACACTCAGGATGTTCAGGAAGAAAAGAGATGACCCGTCGAGTGCTGGTGTCCCAGGAAGAACTGCGTAAAGAAATGAGGAACACTAGGGATGGACAGCCTGATCTTCTCCAAGTTACTTTATCATCCCTGGCCACACAGAGCCCTTGCTGTCTACACTTTTCTGGCTGGATAAGAGCTCAATTTATACAGACCACCTTGTGGTCAGAGTTGGTTTCAGTTTCTATTCCTAGAAATGGCAGGTTTGCATAAAACAATAGGGAGGTTCTTTGGAGAATTTGCAGATGAGTCATCCTGTTTGATGCTGACCTTGCTAAGTCTGTGGTGTGACCATTGAAGTACCAAAAATTAGAATTAATAAAAGTTTAAAAACCTAGGCCCTGAAAAGAGGACTTCTAATGATTGGGAATGCCGTGGCTGGCACCTCAGCCCCACTCTCAGAGAAGGGGATGTCACCCTCCACCACCTATGTCTGCTAATTGCTGGCCCTAGAAATTAGAAACTTCTATTTTAAAGGTATTGCCAGAGTTGACCTTAGCATTGCTTGTAGTTTGAACCATCTAAATCCAATGAGAATTTTAAGAAAGTTTTCCTTTCTAAACTTATATCCATAAAAGACCTACAGAATAATGTGTAAAGTGAAATATCCAATGTGCAAAATTCCTTTTTGTATTTATTATGTAATAATAAACAGAATGCTTACCTAATAGTTGTCATTGAAAATAAAGTTATTTTCATATAATATGTCCTGATCACATATTCCTCTCCCTCATCTCCTCCCAGACTGCCTCCCCACTCTTCCAGCTCCATTCCTTCTTTGATTCTACTTTAAGAAAACAGACAGGAAAGTAAAAAAGACAAACAAGGATTTTTTAAATGTGCAAACTAACCAACAAAAAAAACAATAAAAGAAAAAGAAACTAGGAAAGAGAACTAGAAATGCACCCATGTACCATAGAAACTTAAAATTGCAAACCATTATATCCAATCAAGAGACCAGAAAGATTTTTCTAAAGTGTCTAAATAAAGCAACATATGACAATAAAAATTTCCCCAAATAAACCTTTGAGTTCATTTTCAGTTAGCCATCTACTGCTGGGCATGGGGCCTGTCCTTCAAAGTAGTAGTATGTATACCCAGTGAGACTCCTTTGGAGAAATTAATTTTTCTTTTGCAAGTGGTTGCTAATAGCAGAGAATTTCTTGGTTGTGGGTGGGAGCTCCTGGCTACCTCCCCATCTCAGTGCTGGGAGCCCAAAGGGCTTGGACCTGTACATGCTGCCAGAGTCTCTGAGAGTTTATGTGTAAACCAGTCCTGTTGTACCTTGAAGACACTGTTCTCTCTCTCTCTCTCTCTCTCTCTCTCTCTCTCTCTCTCTCTCTCTCTCTCTCTCTCTCTCTCTCTCTCTGTCTCTCTCTCTATCTCTATCTATCTATCTATCTCTCTTCTTTCCTTCCTTCCTTTTTAACCTAATAACTTATGAATGGTTATTTAATTTCTAAATAAATCTATTTTAAAAGATACACCATATTTTTTAAGAAGTAAAAATGTCCAGCTCAGTAAACAATAACTAATGAAGTGCGCATCAGGAATTTTAGCTATGCCTTTCTGAAATAACAATGTGCTTATTTCTACCCTTAAGCCACATCTCACTAAAGTGATTTTTCAAAAATAAGTACTGGAAAATCCAGAATAGTATTGATTCAGCTTTGCTCCTGTAACAGAATCCCAATGGGTTTTGTTTTGGAAAGCTAATGCTGTTTTACTCCGTTTTATAGATTCTTAAATTTTGTTTTATCTGATACCAATTAAATGATGATAAACGGTTCTGGAGTGATGGACCAGCCATTAAGAGCACTCAGGTTAGGTCCTAGCACTGACGTATGCACAGGCAAAACACTTAAACTCATAAAATAAAAATCAGTAAGTCTTTAGATGATGGTAGAGGCATTCACTTTCTGTGTAGCATTTTGTTATAATGGAGGTTTTCATTAGACTTATAATATAGAAAGAGCCACCTTCTCTACTGTTTTTAATAAGACATTGGCTTGGCTAAGGACCATGATATGTGCACTAGGTACTTGGGAGGTTGAAAAACGAGAGCTGGGAGTTCAAGGGTGGCCTTGACTCCATGGGCAACATAGTAAAGTCTTGCCTTAAGAGAATTGGCTTTCTGACTCAATGAGATGATCAGACTGACTTAGTAGACTTCCTAGGGGAACAGATGGGAGAAGAGGGGGGAGCGTGGAGAGCTGGAGGAGCGGAGGGAGGGTGAACTGGGATTGGAATGTAAAAAAAATAAATAAATTTTAGAAATTTTGCCATTTTCTGTTTTCAAAACTGCATTGTCTCTCTACCAAGGAAACAAAGGGTTACTCTCAGCAGACAACTTGTGAACAGCATGTGATTGATGGCAAACAGTTTGGACACTGTACATTATTTATAAAACCCAAGAGGATGCCTCTCACTAACTACAAAATGTATATGGACTCCTAGGTCATTAGTATTGTTATTTTATTCATGGGTTTAGAGAGTATTTAGATCTGAAACAATGTATGAAAATATATTGCACATGAGCTCATAGTGGCAATGGTTAAACTAATAAGACCCACACAAGATCAAGCTAGTTAAAAATGTCAAAATATTGGCTAATATCACCATCTCTTGGCAATCTCCTTGAACCCTCATTACACATTTGAAAGAGATATCCTTAGCAAATATTCCTTAAATGGTTCAGTGTGAAGTCCATTGATGCCATTACTCTCTTGTCATGACACTGACTCATGTAAACCATCCTTTTTTTTTATTTTTTGAAACAGGATTTCTCTGTAGTTTTGGAGCCTGTCCTGTAGGCCAGACTGGTCTTGAACTCACAGAGACCCACCTGTCTCTGTACCTAGAGTGCTGGGATTAAAGGTGTGCCACCCCGCACCAAGTACCCTCTTAAGACATTATTTTTAGGTATTGGCAGAGAATGTGCGAAAGCATTGCTTTAGGAACAATGTAGTGATATGTTATTTAATAAGCATTGCCTGAAGGATCAAAATGCAAAGCCAGCCATAAGCTAGCTATAGTGGCTGGGTGGTGGTGGCATACACCATTAATCCCAGGACTCAGTGGACAGAGGCAGATGGATCTCTGTGAGTCAAAGCCCACCCAGGGCTACACAAAACTGAATCAGTCTAAAAGAGAAATATCTAACACAAAGGAGATCTCAGCACTTGGGATCCCACGCCTTTAACCCCAACTCTGGAGAGGTATATAAGATAGGAACAGACATTCAGTCTGGGGCAATTTTGGCAATGTGGTCTCCAGCCACATTGAGGGCAGTTTTGTTTCAGCCTGGGTAGAGGTAAGAGCTATTGGCTTGGCTGTTTTGCTTTGATCTTCAGCTTGAAGCTTGAACCCTAAAATCTGTCTCTGGTTTTTATTTTTCATGTTACAAAACACTGTCTGGAGTCCTGTCCCCAGCACTAAACAGAATCCAGAGAACAACAGCTACCACATTCTCCATCTGCTTCCAAACTTGATCTAAGTGTTCCTTGGTACCAGACAAGTCCTTAGACAGGTGCATCTAGGTAAAGCATGGAGAACGAGAATAAAAAGGCACCAACGAAGAGGAACTGACTTACTATGTTAGAGGAAATTTGATTTAGACATACATCATAACAACTGAAAACTAAATTTCCATATTCCAAACCTAAGAATCATGGTCAGTGATTTGTAACAATTTGTCCTTGTCCCTCAGTGGAACAATGAATTAGATTTGAGGCAAGGGAAATGAGTGATTTTAAACTCCTCCCAAAGGATCTAAAACACTTCTAGGGAATGTTGTTGTATCTCTTGATTTCTAGAGGATAGATAGGGATCCAGGAGAGACCCAGGACAGTCAGGCTTCCATGTGAGAAGAGTGCCGACCACCCCCTACACTAGATTAGAGGGGGACTGATGGAGTCTCTCAGGATTTTCTTCACGATGATCTTGGTGTCCTGGGCAACTAAGTGAAGCACACGTCTGTGTTTTATGCGTCTGAACTGGAGTTGATACCTTAGCAGAGTCATTCCAATGCAAATAAAGCATTTGGATGGATTCACACAAAAAGGTCACTAAGCTACCTTACATTAAAACCCACCCTGAGGTCTAGACAAGAAACAACTCTTTTTTCTTTTATATTTTTCATCTATTTTAGATATTGCCTGTGGTCCATTCTGATCGTGGGATGTATTCTTATGGAGAGATGAAGAGGAGCTATCATCTTAGGTCCTAAGAGAACATGGGCTGGCATGCTCTGCCCTCTTTCTTCAAATCTAGCCACCAGTAGAAAACCCACAGGCTAGGCTTATGCAGGTGAGCTAGACATTTGCCTCCATGCTGGTGGCTTGGATGGATTTGAGCAGCAAAGATGGTACAGTGCTGTGTGGTACTGAAGTCAGAGAGGGGCCCCGCCCAAGCAAAAAAATAGGCAAGATCTAGGGTTCTGTGACCTGGTGTCACAGTCCTACTTTTCGTATCTTAAAGACAGAAGTTGTGGGAGACTGGCGGTGAACAGGCTGCATTGAAGAGGCTTTTACTTACCAACTGCAGAGGAGGGATTAAGTGGGGTCCGGATGTTAGCTGCCTTTCAGAAAAACGTTGCTGTCCTCCAGCAGTTCTCTCCTGAGCGATCTAGAACTGGAATGCAGACCCAGAAAGCCCAGAGATGAGATGCAGAGGTCTGGGGTTCTTCCAAGAGATGGTCAGGAGGAGTAGGAGCTGGCTAACTGAGCAAGTGGATTGCCTCCTTTCTGCCTCTGGTCTCTGTGCAGACCTTGGTTTTTTTGTTTTGTTTTTTTTTTTTTTTTTTGGCCGGCTGTTGTGATATCTGAGTTCTGCTTGGCAAGGCTGGGAGGGGGAGTGCACTCCAGTGAGAATAGGTTTCGGTTTCAATTCCTGGAGACACAGGCTGCAACCATGTTCTGTGTGAGTGTTCTCCCTGGCTGCCAGCTCCCGTGATTCTCCTGACCTCACTGTCTTCATAAAGGAGAAAGCCAGAGCACCAGGGAGTGGGGAGTCAGGCTCTGGTCCTCGCAGTCGGTGTTTGAGTGGGAAGGGGGTCTGAGCTGAGAAGGGCACATTTCATTTCCCTAAGATCCAGGAGCTAGTTTATTAGATGGACACCTGAGCAAAAGCAGGAATTGGAGACTCTGGTCCTGGCATAGACGCATTGACCCCTTGTGATGTTTTCATGAAGAAAAGCAGAAGTGTTCTCTAGCGACTGGCACAGGCTCAGTGACAGAGGGGACAGGCGAGAGGAGCCATGTTGCTTTCAGAGGGTCAGGGCAGCTCTGTCATTCAGTCCCTTTGCTGCTTTTCTGTACCTCCTGGCACAGCTGAGTCACGAGGAGCAGGGGTGTGCATGCAAGCAGAGCTGAGCCTGTTTCAGAGTCACTGTGCAGTGAGATGGGCTGGGCAGGGAGGGAGGAGGAGGCTCACACAGGCACTTCCCAGTGCCCTGAACACAACTTCTGCTGACTGGGGGACTTGTTGCCCAGAGGTCTGTGAAATATGACCCTCTGTCACCTCTCCAGGTGACCAGTAGTATGATCCTCTACTTGTTATGGTAGCTTTTGCTTTCTCCTTCCTGGAAAAGACTGAGTTTCTGAGAAGAGGACTAAGTATGAACTTTTTTTTCCATTCCTGTTCTTGTTTAATGAACTGGAGGTTTTGAGTGACAGCCAGAGGCTGTCCCTCCTTTTTGCTTCCCTCTAAGTCCTTGGCCTGGGTAGAAACCAGGCTACTGCAAGTCTCTGGCTGATTTCTATCCATCTTTAGAGATTGGTGGGGCCTGTCTATTGTCTGCTTTCTTTACGTGATTTCCATAAGAACAAATAGGAACAGGTCTCAGGGCAGTACAGGAAGATCAGAAAGAGAGTTTCTGGAACCTTCTATGTCAGAGAGCCAGAATTCGAACCCACGAAGTGTCTCCCTGGACCTCAGAGTCAGTCCTCTCGTGCTCTTGCTCCTGGGGAGGAACTGAGGCTGGTACCACAGGCCTTGTATGATTGGGCATCAGGGAAAGGCTTCTTAAGTCAGGATGACATAATGGTTGGATGCAGAGTGTGAGCACAGAGGATAATCAGAACTCAGGCAGCCTATCCTTGAAAAGGCCATTTGTATTTGGTGAGGTGGTCTGCAGTTAGACCTCCCTGATGAGGCTAGGCTGATGGTTAACTTCAGATGGCCATCTGTTTAGAGACTGTGTGGGTAAACTGGGCCACGGGGACACATGCATAATCTTATCAGTTGAGAAATGGAGGTAAGGAGAGTAGTTGCAAACCTTGCATTATAATAATGAGTTCCTGGCCAGCTTTGGCTTCATAGTGAAACTTTTTTGTTTTTTGAGACAGCATTTCTCTGTGTAGCCCTGGCTGTCCTGGAACTTGCTCTATAGACCAGGTTGGCTTTGAACTCACAGAGATCCACCTGTCTCTGCCTCTGCAAGTGGGATGTGTGTGCACCCCCACCTCCCAGCAAGACTTTTTTAAAGATTAATTTATTTCATGTACCTGAATGTTGTGTTTGTGTGTACATGCACACTGTATTCGTGCCTGGTGCCTGCAGAGGCCAGAAGAGAGTGCCAGATCCCCTGGAAATGGAGTGAAGGACAGTTGTGAGCCACTATATGGGTGCTGGGAGCTGAACCTTGGGCCTTTTACAAGAATACAAAGCACTCTTTTTTTTTCACAACAGGGTTTCTCTGTAGCTTTGGAGGCTGTCCTGGAACTCTCTCTTGTAGACCAGGCTGGTCCTGAACTCACAGAGATCCTTCTGCCTCTGCCCTCCAAGTGCTGAGATTAAAGGCGAGTGCTACCACCAATCAGCTTAATGTGTTCTTTTCAAAACCTGTTTTTGAGATAGAATGTCACTGTGGCCTGGAACTCCTAATGTAGACCAGGCTGGCCTTGAATTCCACCTGAATCTGCCTCCTGAGTGCTGGAACTAAAGGTATGAGCTACCATGACCAACATAGACCCTTAGCCTCTGAGTTATTCAAGATCCTACTTCAAGGGCTGGAAAGATGGCTCAGTAGTTAAGGGCACTAACAGCTCTTCCAGAGGACCCTGGTTCAATTCCCAGCACCTACATGATAGCTCATAGCTGTCTGTAACTACTTTTCCTGGGGACCCTGACACCCATGGCAAAATACCAATGCACATAAAATAAAAAATAATAAAAAAAAGTACCTACTTCAACAGGCTTTTACTTTGGTAAATCATTAATTCACCGTAGATAGACCATAAAGTATTCAGTACTGGTGATTCGCTGTTTACTTTCTCTGACACTGAAGTGACAGTGGGGACTGCCTCTCTCCTGCCCTTGGCCCTTTCGGTCAACAATGATTTCCTGGTACTGTCTGTCCATTGCCACAGCAGGTTACACTCCACACAAAGACTCACGCTGACTCACTCTGCAGACCTGTCAATCACAATATCATACCTACCACACATGGAGGCATGCCCATGTCCAGACACATGCACAAATCCATATGCACACACACACACACACACACACACACACACACACACACACACACTATAAACACCTTGCAGCCACAGAGCCTTGTACCCACTACTGGGACAAGCTAAAGAAGCCATCTTCAATTTGCTTTGTGACTAGAGAAATGGCCCTAGTATTTCTGTTAGGGGTAATGTAGGTATCTAGCTCCAAGCTCAGCAAATATAGTTTCTCATAGACATTATTATTATTATTATTATTTTGGTTTTTAGAGCTGTCCTGGAACTCTGTAGACCAGGCTGGCCTCCAACTCAGAGATCCACGTGCCTCTGCCTGCGGAGTGCTAGGATTTAAGGTGTGTACCGCCGCCACCACCACCCAGTGGACCTCGTTCCTGTGTGTGACTCCAACTCACAGAAGGGTTGTCTTCTGGAGCATGGAGGAGGCCCCGACAGTAACGGTTTACTCTGCTGTCAGAGTTGGGGACACATGCTATTCTTCATCCCACACACCATCCTCAGACGTAATCTATCACAGGCTGTCATGCTTAGAGCTCCAATTATCATGAAGACACATCTCAGAACTGTACTTTGACTCCCACAAGGAAAGCATGGCTTTTACAGTTGAGGATCAGAAAGGCATTTACCCCTCCCGCAGCTGCCCCCTCCTGGCTGTGGCCTGACACTGGATGCTGGACCTAGTAGACTCAGGAAGTGTGTGCAGCAGAGGCTCACCTCCTTTGGAGGAGGTGGTTTCTCTCAGCACTTTCTGGTTAATTCCGGCGAGACAGAGCAGTTTCACTCTTCGTCTCCTTTTCAAAATCTCATTTATTTGTCTGCTGTCTCAGCTCTCATCATTTATGTCACACCGTCTACATTCACAGATCATTTTGCAGTTTCAAAATAATTGCCTTTCCATTCGCTGAAGTGATAGAGAGTGGGACTATTTTCTCATGTAATATTTTTTCTAATAACAAACACATTTTGCCCTGGCTCACATATTTCACGTAAAAAATGTCTCTCTTAGAGACAACCAGTTCTGTCTAGGGATGAGACTCCTGACAGGTTACTTAGTCCCAAGTGATCAGCCCTAAACACTTACATGGACAAGCAGCATTAAATGGACTCTGCATTTGTGTCTCTCTGTGTGTTATGTATGTACGTGTGTAACAATAATTAAAGAAAAAGGGGTCATGAATCTTAAATGAAGTGGAGGGATGTGGGAGAAGTTCAAGGGGGAAATGGAGGCATGAAAATGGCGTAAATAGAGTATTCGTGTTTGGAAGACTCAAAAAATTTTTAAATTAAAAAAGAAAAGGGTCTTTGTTGGGCCTAAGAAAAGCTCAGATGTGAGGCCCAGTGTAACCTCCACGTGGGGGTGACTCAGTCAGATCTGATGCAAGATTGCCCCCTGCCTCGCTACCTGCCTGCTCGGTGGAATACTATTGGCCCTTAACTCCTCACTTCACCTTAACCTATCCCAAGATTCCCATATCCTACCTCAGTCCTATATAAGTTCCTGCCTGTTGGAATAAATCGAGATGCTGCCTGGACAGACTCCCAACTCAGTGTGTGTTCCCCCCTCCCTCCCCCCCAGACCCCTCCCCCCCGTAACTAATGGGAGGAGGGTCTGAGTCATCAACACTCACCATCCTGCTCAGCCCCCAGGAAGAGGCCCATCTCTGGAAGTTCTCCCTGCAAATGCAAATAAGGAGGAGCAGGGGTCAAGGGCAGAGCAGAGCCTGTGCAGTACCCTGGCTGGAGGCAGGTTGGGCAGGATCGGAGCTATACAACCCTGAATTGTACAGAGTCTTGCTCTGGAGACCCAAGCACAAAATCTGCCCGATTTCCTCTCTCTTGTGCCTCAATGTCACCCCTGTTTCCGTGTGCCTGACTCCCTCCCACTCAAGCAGGCAGGGGTTGAGGGCAGATGGAAGAACCTGCAAGCCAGTATCATAGAGTTGCCACTGTGACTTCCTTCAGTACCAAGCACTGGCTCAGCCTGTCCTTTTCTCTCCCTTTTATCTATCTGTCTGTGTTTCTGTCTGTCTGTCTGTCTTGGATTTCTAGTGAAAATCTCACTCCATGTCCCAAGAGGCCTGGAAGTCTGTGTATAACTGGAAGCCATTAAGGGGATTGCATCCTTCATTCCCCCCATCCCCCTCATGAACAGGAAATGAATGACAGGAAAACACAGAAGACAAGCCAGACTTAGGAACTGGACCTGGGTCTAGGCCTTGTCAATTTTAATTAGCTATGCTGCATACCTCACCACACCAGGATGACAGTTTCTGTAATAAGTCGTTTCTGAAACCAAACCACTTCCTCTCATAGCATTCAAAGATACACCCCAAGCTGAGGGAGAGGAAGCCCAGGCCTGAGCTTCTTGGTGGAAAACTCCAAGAAGATAAGCCCCCTCTTTACAAGGAGGTGGGGGTCAGAGAACCAGGTCCAGTCAGGAAGAAAGGACTAATGGGCCACAAACATGTTCACCTGTCCTTCTTAAAACAAAGCAATTCTGTTTTCCTCCTTTATCTGTTTCCATAATTTCTTAGAAAGTCTAATTTTATTAACTCTTTGAGTATTTCATGCATGC